CTCCTGGCCGGTGGACCTGAGGACTGAGGGCCGGTGGACCTGTGGACTGAGGGCCGGTGGACCTGAGGACTGAGGGCCGGTGGACCTGTGGACTGAGGGCCGGTGGACCTGAGGACTGAGGGCCGGTGGACCTGTGGACTGAGGGCCGGTGGACCTGTGGACTGAGGGCCGGTGGACCTGTGGACTGAGGGCCGGTGGACCTGTGGACTGAGGACCGGTGGACCTGAGGACTGAGGGCCGGTGGACCTGTGGACTGAGCGCCGGTGGACCTGTGGACTGAGGGCCGGTGGACCTGAGGACTGAGGGCCGGTGGACCTGTGGACTGAGCGCCGGTGGACCTGTGGACTGAGCGCCGGTGGACCTGTGGACTGAGGGCCGGTGGACCTGAGGGCCGGTGGACCTGAGGACTGAGGGCCGGTGGACCTGTGGACTAAGGGCCGGTGGACCTGAGGACTGAGGGCCGGTGGACCTGTGGACTGAGCGCCGGTGGACCTGAGGACCTGTGGGACTGAGGGCCGGTGGACCTGAGGACTGAGGGCCGGTGGACCTGTGGACCTGAGGGCCGGTGGACCTGAGGACTGAGGGCCGGTGGACCTGAGGACTGAGGGCCTGGGACTGAGCGCCGGTGGACCTGTGGACTGAGGGCCGGTGGACCTGAGGACTGAGGGCCGGTGGACCTGACCTGACCTGGACTGAGCGCCGGGACTGAGGGCCGGTGGACCTGAGGACTGGGACTGAGGGCCGGTGGACCTGAGGACTGAGGGCCGGTGGACCTGAGGACTGAGGGCCGGTGGACCTGAGGACTGAGCGCGGTGGACCTGAGGACTGAGGGCCGGTGGACCTGAGGACTGAGGGCCGGTGGACCTGAGGACTGAGGGCCGGTGGACCTGAGGACTGAGGGCCGGTGGACCTGAGGACTGAGGGCCGGTGGACCTGAGGACTGAGGGCCGGTGGACCTGAGGACTGAGGGCCGGTGGACCTGAGGACTGAGGGCCGGTGGACCTGAGGACTGAGGACTGAGGGCCGGTGGACCTGCCGGTGGACCTGAGGACTGAGGGCCGGTGGACCTGTGGACCTGGTGACTGAGGGCCGGTGGACCCTGAGGACTGAGCGCCGGTGGACCTGAGGACTGAGGGCCGGTGGACTGAGGACTGAGGGCCGGTGGACCTGAGGACTGAGGGCCGGTGGACCTGAGGACTGAGGGCCGGTGGACCTGAGGACTGAGGGCCGGTGGACCTGAGGACTGAGGGAGGACTGAGGGCCGTGGACCTGAGGACTGAGGGCCGGTGGACCGGTGGGACTGAGGGCCGGTGGACCTGAGGACTGAGGGCCGGTGGACCTGAGGACTGAGGGCTGAGGACTGAGGGCCGGTGGACCTGAGGACTGAGGGCCGGTGGACCTGAGGACTGAGGGCCGGTGGACCTGAGGACTGAGGGCCGGTGGACCTGAGGACTGAGGGCCGGTGGACCGGTGGACCTGAGGACTGAGGGCCGGTGGACCTGAGGACTGAGGGCCGGTGGACCTGAGGACTGAGGGCCGGGACCTGAGGACTGAGGGCCGGTGGACCTGAGGACTGAGGGCCGGTGGAGGACTGAGCGCCGGTGGACCTGAGGACTGAGGGCCGGTGGACCTGAGGACTGAGGGCCGGGGACCTGAGGACTGAGGGCCGGTGGACCTGAGGACTGAGGGCCGGTGGACCTGAGGACTGAGGGCCGGTGGACCTGAGGACTGAGGGCCGGTGGACCTGAGGACTGAGGGCCGGTGGACCTGAGGACTGAGGGCCGGTTGACCCTGAGGACTGAGGGCCGGTGGACCTGAGGACTGAGGGCCGGTGACTGTTGACTGAGGGCCGGTGGACCTGAGGACTGAGCGCCGGTGGACCTGAGGACTGAGGGCCGGTGGACCTGAGGACTGAGGGCCGGTGGACCTGAGGACTGAGGGCCGGTGGACCTGAGGACTGAGCGCCGGTGGACCTGAGGACTGAGGGCCGGTGGACCGGACTTGTTGACTGAGGGCCGGTGGACCTGAGGACTGAGGGCCGGTGGACCTGAGGACTGAGGGCCGGTGGACCTGAGGACTGAGGGCCGGTGGACCTGAGGACTGAGGGCCGGTGGACCTGAGGACTGAGCGCCGGTGGACCTGAGGACTGAGGGCCGGTGGACCTGAGGACTGAGGGCCGGTGGACCTGAGGACTGAGGGCCGGTGGACCTGAGGACTGAGGGCCGGTGGACCTGAGGACTGAGGGCCGGTGGACCTGAGGACTGAGGGCCGGTGGACTGGGACTGAGGGCCGGTGGACCTGAGGACTGAGGGCCGGTGGACCTGAGGACTGAGGGCCGGTGGACCTGAGGACTGAGGGCCGGTGGACCTGAGGACTGAGGGCCGGTGGACCTGAGGACTGAGCGCCGGTGGACCTGAGGACTGAGGGCCGGTGGACCTGGGTTCTCGGGGAGTATTCACCGAGACTTTACACTAATTCTGACCTATGTTTAGGATTTAGG